CTGTGCGCGCTCCCACTGCAGCTGCTCCAGCAGCAGCACGTGGGCGGGGCCCTGGGCCCGCAGCGCGGCCTCCCGCAGCTCCAGGCCCCGCTTCTCCCTGCGCACCAGCTGAAGCTGCAGCATCAGATCAGCCAGGGTCTCCTGAGGGGAGAAGGGGGGAAACTGAGGCCCCAGAAGGTCCCACTGGGGCCACACAAGAACGCTGACCTTCACTGTGACCTCCCCCCTAGAGCAACAGCCCCGGGAAGAGCATTGTCTTAGACAAGGTCTATGGAAGCTTCTAGAACGTCTCAGATCTCAGAACCTCAGACTTTTCCTTTTTTTGGGGGGTGGTCCTGGGGCTTGATCCGGGCTGGGCGCACCCCTCGGGCCAGCGGGGAGCGCAGGCTCCTCCTGCCCCTGCCTCCCGGACACTGCGATGACGAGGCCTGACCCAGCACCTCTGCTTTTTTCCCCGCCTTCTTTTTTCTTTTCTCTTTTCATCTTCTTTCTATCTATTGATTGACTGCAGTGTTAAAACAGTAAAGACAGCCCGGCACTGGTGGCTCACGCCTGTCATCCTAGCTTCTCAGGAGGCTGAGAGCTGAGGATCATGGTTCCCAGCCTGGGAAGCAAAGTCCAAGAGAACCACCAGAAAACCGGAAGTGGTGCTGTGGCTCAAGTGGTAGAGCGCCCACCTTGTTGAAGAGCTGAGGGACAGCGCCCAGGCCCAGAGTTCAAGCCCCACAACTGACATAAAAAAAAAAAAAAAGACTGAACACAGGGTCTCAGGCACAGGCTGGCCCCTGCCACTGAGCGGCCCCTCGAACCGTTCAAGCCATGCTACAAACCCCATTCACACTCCCGCCCTCATCTCTCCAATGGGAAGGGCGTCAGGAAAAGGCAGATTCATAGTCAAATGAGAAATTGGACCCCAGACAACAAACTCCTATTCATCCTTCACAACTCCAAGAACCCCTCCCCACCCCCCAGCAGAGCAGAATTCCTTCCTGCTGCTGGGCCACTAGACACATTTCTCACATTCTGTCTCTCTAAGAAGGACCGGCACCATTCGCCTGTTCCTACCCGCGTGGCCATCAAGCCCTGTTGGATCTGGGTCTTCTCCAGCTGGGGCAGAGCCGGGCTGGGCTGGGTTTCCAGAATGGCCTGCACCATGGCTTCGCCGTGGGGCGCGGTGAGCCTCGCTGCTGCGGAGGGGCTGGGCTCGGGGATCTTCAGGAGGGCCCTGCGCTCCTGAAGCCGCTGGATATGGGCTTGGAGCTGGGTGGCGACTTCCTGTGGCCTGGGCTTATCCGCACTGCTGCCCTCGGGGCTGCAGGAAGCAGGAGACGCCCCACATGGAGCTGGGGACCCTTGTCCCCACCGGGCTGTGACCCCCCCCTCAGTGAGCACAGCCACCCAGCGTGCCAGCCCCAGGGGGGACCAGCACACATCAGGCCAGCCAGGCGCTGGTGCTCACGCCTGTCATCCCAGCTACTCAGAAGGCTGAGATAGAGGATCGTGGTTCAAAACCAGCCAGGGAAATCCATGAGACTCTTATCATCAAAAAGCTGAAAATAACAGAGCTGGGGCTCAAATGGGGGAGAGCATCAGCGCTGAGTTTAAACGAGCTAAGGGACAGTGCCTAGGCCCTGATCAAGACCCGGGACTGGTACTAAGAAAAAAAAAAAAAAGACCTACAGTGACCCAGAAGACAAGTTGTGGCGATGGCACGGGCACTCAGGGCTGGCCACGTGCTGGGCTTGGCATCACCCTGCTCAGCAGGGCGGCTCTGAGCCCCACGCCGTCCTTTGGCACCAAGTCTAACTGGAGTTGACCTGTGGTTACTCAACAAGGCTGACCTTGGGGCTGGCTGGCATGTGTTGGCATGCACGAAGGCCAGGTGGTGCTAAGAACTGGCTTGGTGAGGTTGGCGTGTGTGTGTGTGTGTGTGTGTGTGTGTGTGTGTGCACTGGGGCTTCAACTCAGCCTGGGCACTATCCCTGACCTTTTTCCCTTAAGGTTGGCACTCTACCCCTTAAGCCACAGCTCCACTCCAGCTTTTTGGTGGTTCATTGGAGATCAGAGTCTCAGGGACTTTGCTGCCCGGGCTGCCTTTGAGCCTCGATCCTCAGATCTCAGCCTCCTGAGTAGCTGGGATGCCAGGTGTGACCGGGCGCCTGGCTCACTACCCTTCTTGGGTGTCCCGGGGTTACCTGTGCGGGGGTGTCCCCCCGTCCACGGCCGCCAGCAGCCTGCGTGCCTCCTCCGCAGCCCGCTGCAGCTCAGCTTTGGGCCTCGGGGTCCGCCGGGCAGGGTCGGCCTCTCGGAGTGCCAGCAGGGCCCCGTAGGCCGCCTCGCAGCTCTCACTGCGGGACACGGAGAGCGTCGGGAAGCCAGCCCCATCTTGCTAGAAGTGGGGGGTGAGCCCCTTTTTCTCCCCCCTCCCCCAGCACCGAGGTTACAGGTGCCAGCAAGGGACCTGTAGTGCAGCGCCAGGCCCAGCGCCGTGGCCTCGGCCGCGCGCCGCCCCACGTGCAGGCTGAGCTCCTCGCAGCGGCCCTTCCAGCCCCGCAGCGCCGCCAGCAGCAGCCGGTTGAAGCACTTCAGCTTCTCCATGTTCCTGGCCCAAGAGAGAGACGAGGCGTGGCGGGAGGGACGGGAGGTTTGCAAGTCATGGCTGCCGCCGCGCCGGCCGACACCAGGCTCTCACCCATGCAGCTGCTCCACCCGGCCTTCCAGAAGCTTCTCTGCGGGCCCACAGACCGGCATGGACACAGGCCCGAGGATCTGGGAGCTGGAATCACGCAGCCGGAGCAGGGAGGAAACTGAGGAGGAGCCCTGCCAGGAAGGGGTGACTTGATTTACTCAAATTGTCACCCACGATATGGACTCACACATTGTTTTATTTTTGTCAGTCGTGGGGTTTGAACTCGGGTCCGGGGCACTGTCCCTGAGCTCTTTTGCTCAAGGCTGGTGCTCTACCACTTGAGCCACAGCACCACTTCTGCTTTTTGAGTGGTTCATTGCAGGTAAGTGTCTCATGGGGACTTTTCTGCCCAGGATGGCTTTGAACTCACCCGAGCACCCCAGGGCTCCGTGTCGGCCCCCGAGCTGCTGGAGTCACTGCCTGGGCCTCCGGGAGACCCGGGCGGGGAGGACCGCACCCTCCTCAGGGTCTCCTGCAGCTCCTGGACCTGGAAGGTGTGTGGAGTTTTCAGGCTGGGGCTCCACACACCCCACCCCACCCTCCATCAGACTCCTACATTTGCAGCTAGAGCCCCAGCTGGAAGGCTAGGAGCTCTGTGGCTCTCTTTGCTCTTATGTTGTTGTTGGTCATGGGGCTTGAACTTAGGGTCTGGGAGCCGTCCCTCAGCTCTTCAGCTCAAGACTGGTGCTCTACCACTTGAGCCACAGTGCCACTTCTGGTTTTCTGGTGGTTTATTGGAAATAAGAGTCTCATGGACTTTTCTGCCCGGGCTGGCTTTGAACCATGACCCTCCAATCTCAGCCTCCTGAGTAGCTAGGATTGCAGGTGTGAGTCGCCAGTGTCAGGCTGTTTTTTGTTTTTTGTTTTGTTTTTGTTTTTTGAGGCAGGCTCTTGCTAAATAGTCCAGGCTGACCTCAAACTGGCCATCCTCCTACCTCAGCCTCCCAAGTGCTGGGATTACAGGCGTGAGCCACCGCACTTGGAAGTTCATTGAATGAATACACCAACAAACAAAATGATTCATCTAGCTGGGCACCTATAATCCTCGCTACTCAGGAGGCTGAAATCTGAGGATCGAAGTTCAAAGCCATTCAGGCAGGAAAGTCCATGAGACTCTGATCTCCAATAAACCACCACAAAACCAGAAGTGGCGCTGTGGCTCAAGTGGTAGAACGCTGGCCCTGAGCTGAGGAGCTGAGGGACAGCGCCAGGCCCAGAGTTCAAGACCCCATGACCCACAAAAAAAACCACCTTCCTCCGCTGGGGTCTTCCCCCCCCTCCGCTGGGGTTCCCCCCATTGCTGGGGTCCTCCCCCCCTGGGGTCCGTCCCCGCCCCCCCCCGCTGGGGTCCTCCCCTCCGCTGGGGTCCTCCCCCCCTGGGGTCCTCCCCCCCCTTGCTGG